CTCGTTTGATTTACACCGAACGTCGTTGGTTTATAAATCATATAAATGTAGAGTAAAGTTGGAACATGATGTAGCGATGTCGATCTTTAAATAAACCGTATAAAAGACATTCTATCTCTTGAACAACATTGATTAAAAAAACGGCTACAGCCATGAAAAAATAAAAGGAAAACACTGCTAAAACATTGATAATAAGAATTATATCAATAATACTATTAATAATTGTAAAAAATTATATATTTAATAATACAGTAATAATAGTAATAATAATAGTACTAATGATAATATTAATAATTATAATAACAATAATAATAATAGTAATAATAATAATAAGTCATTAAATATTATAGATTTAATTAGTATTATATTAGCGCAGGCGCCTCATGCCTTTCTGTACAGGCGGATTAATATGGTTTAGGTCAGAGGTTATGCCTTTCGGTTAATAATAATAATTGTAAAAAAAACTTATAGGTTTAATAATACAGTAATAATAGTAATAATAATAATAATGATAATATTAATAATTATAATAACAATAATAATAATAATAATAGTAATAATAATAATAATAAGTCATTAAATATTATAAGATTTAATTAATATTATATTAGCGCAGGCGCCTCACGCCTTTCTGTACAGGCGGAGTAATATGGTTTAGGTCAGAGCCTTTCGGTTAGAGAGTGTATCCTAGCTACGAGACGCTCTCTGGCAAGCTTCAGGAAGCTAAAATGTGGTGTTTTGTTTTCCCCCATATTGGGCCCAGTTTGAAGCAAATTGTTATTGATTACTTGTCGTGAAATAAACGACCACAGAAACCCACTACGCGTTTGTCGTTTCTATGTCTGGTTCCTTCCTGGCCACAACCGAGTTCAACAAGCCGAAGTCTAATATAATAATAATAATAATAATAATAATAATAATAATAATAATAATAATAATAATAATAATAATAATAACAACAATAATAATATTCATACTAACAATGAATAGACAACAACAGTAATAGGCCTATATTATGTGATTCTTTTTCTGTTGCACTTTTTTGGCCTATCAGAATAATTATTGCTCAAAGTGTTTGCTTTATGTATCAAAATCAACACTGCCAAACTAATGGTGGTGATGATGGTGATGATAATACAGTATAATCAGTGGTGCAACGCTTTTGTGCTCTCATGCGGCGGTCCGCTGGGCCCCCGACCCTAGGGGCCCTCGACCTCGATCCAGCACCCTGACTCAAATGGTTTTGTTGATACATAACAGCATAATGTGTCTCTGTCATCGTCATCGACTGTAGGACATATCATTATCTCCAACGGCGGATTAAACTGGGCCCCCTAAATTTGTCAAAACTTTCATATAAAGGGGTCACATAAAGGTGGCCTATACTCTTCATCTGTGAAAGTCCCTCCTTGGGTCTCCTCTATTTCAAATCCCTGGATCCGCTACTGCTCAGCCCCTACCATGGTGGGGCTGACGTGAGTCTTTCTATCTGTAAAAGTCCCTCCCTTGAACCTCTCTACTTGGAATTCCTGGATCCGTCACTAATCTGTGAAAGTTTCTCCCTAGGCACCCTCTCCCACTATATCAAATTCCAAGATCCGCCACTGATATATAGGCCCCTAATTGATTTCGTCGTTGTGAAATACAATGACAAACACAATTAAAAGGGGGAGCACATTTACAATCCCATAATGGAATTGGTGATCGGGACCTAAAAAACTGTCGAGGTCAGTTCATTTTCTTATTGCGAAGGTGAAGTGGTGGGGTGGGGGGCTCGATGATCAGTTGATGGGCGCTAATTCGCAAAATATGGTGATTTTAGGTGATTTTTAACTACTTGACCGTGATTTTTGGGGGCGATT